TCTTCTTCAGCTGTGCAATCTTGGGCAGGATACTTTACCTCACTCTCTTCTCGGATATTAACACAAGCACGGGAGGGAGCGAGATAGGGAGTATTCATACCACACGGTATCATGGAGATAACAATAAGCCAACTCGGACAGTGCTTAGGACAGTGTGCGTTTGGCACACCGGCGCTACTTAAGTATTTGTTTCGCAAAGCAACAGACACTGTGTACAATGAACAAGAGTTGTGGTGTATTTTAAAACCGTCCTTGCTTGCTGTCTCAGCTCAAGTAAATGGACACAGGAGGGAACACAGACATTTCTGGACACCTGAATGGATTCCAAGCCTTCCAGGCTTACAGGAGAGCCAGCCGGCAGGCGGGAGCTGAGGAGCTCAGGGACGAGCCAGAGGGTGGGAAGGGGAGCGGGCAGGGAGTCCTCCCAGCCCCGGGCAGCCCCGCACCTGCCCCGCCTAACTCTGCCCAGAAGCTCCCGCGACCTCCCATGCCTGGTGTGGGTCGCCCTTCCTAAAACCCTGAGCCGCAGCCCAAATCCGAAGCTCACCAACGCATCCGTGGGTAGAGATGCCACCAAGCCCAGATCACACCACCTCTGAATCCTTGCCAACTGCGGCCCAGAGAATGATGAACTACTAAGGCCGGAAGTGCGTCACAGAGGCCCGCACTCTGTAGAACAGCGGTTCTGGCTAAGTTCCTTCTAGCAAGCCCGGAGGTCTCCACACATCTGTGGTCTCCTCCTGGAATGCCCTCTGCAGCCACGGTGCTGGCGGCACATCCTCTTCCACAGCTATCCGTACTTTATGCCAATTAATTCATTCAACAGATGAGGAAACGGAGGCACAATTCGTCTTCATGTAGTAGTTATATTTTCCCAGCTCCCTTATTTTACTGTAGCAATAAATTAGTGCGTCCTTTTAAAATTCAACTTTATAAACAACTGTTGTCGTTGTTTTGGTGCTCAAATAATCTAAAATGTGAGTAGCCCTTCCAAACTGGCTTCTATGCCCTTGGATAAGTTCCCAGCAATTTTTGTGCCCTTTCCTTTCCCACACGATATGTGGTAGGCTCATTCAATAGCCAAGATTTCCTCCACCAGGCCTGGAAGTGGCCAGTGCTCCAGGGAACCGTGGTTCTACTTAATGGAGAAGTGAACACGGAAATTCAAGATCTGAGACAACTAGCAAACTCGTTGCTACTAGGATGTGTCATTGCTTCTGGGTCCCATCAGTGGGCTAGAACTAGAAAATATAAATGAGGATTCTGCAGGATACTTCCCAAACGCGAATCCACAGAATCTTTCCATTTCACCATTGCAATCTGTTTTTCCTTCTTTCCCTACCTGATTCCCAACAGCATCAAAACATTCACCCGAATAGTTGTGTCAGAAAAACAACTGCAAAATTACAAAGCAAATTTACAAGTTAGAAATTAAATGCGCATATCACTATCACCAGCAATAACAGTCCGCTATGTAGAATTTGGAGTTGTTTATTTTATTGTTTTTGAATTATATTGTCGTTAGGGAATATAGACAGAATTCTGTGCAAATACCTGATTTGATTTAATTTTTTCTATATGCCTATATTATAAGCTTGATAAACAGGACTATTTGTATTTAATTTCAAGGTTTTCTTCCATCTGCAACTCCTTTTTAAATATGAAAAAGTTGCCTTGGTTGAAAATCAACATATCCAGAGTTTGGCTTCTATCTCTGAATCCTTTATTTGGTACACAACCACCCTCATCTTCATCAGTGTTTTGTTTTTGTTCCTCCTGTCTTGCCTTTGTTGCAGGAATTTTGACTCCGAGTATGGCAGCAACCTCAAATTCTTGTCTCGCAGGAAAGAAGAATTTTCATGCGGACACAGTTTAGTTTTAAAGCAGGATTTATTAGAAAGGCTGAGAAAAGAAGACTCCCGTCCTAGCGACGGGAGGGGGTTTTGAGATAGAAAAGACCCTTACCTCCTGCCATAGTGGCAGGAGGAAAAGTAAAAAGAACCCTAGTGCTCTGCCATAGTGGCAGGAGGCAAAGAAGCAAAACCCGAATGAATGGTGGGGAATGCACCTTTTAAAGGTTTCCCTCAAAGATGTTTCTCCATAAACAAAGAAAATTCCTGGTTTCCAAGGTACCTGGCCTTGGGACAAAAGGTCACAGAGATACCAGACATAGGACATTCCAGGCCTTAGGCAGATGTGTATTACTTCTTCCTGCTCTCCTTTCAATGATAAAGAGATCAGCCTGAGGCCCTCCCACAATGGCCAGAGGGGATGGCCGATACTTCAGGTGGGGAATTGATATGCTAATAGCACCTCTGTCCCTTGGAAGAGACGTGCCCTGGTGAGTTCAAGACATGGTGGGGAAATTCTCTTTTACTGGGGGACCCAGAATACCCTAACTGCCTACTACCCACTAACTCCTCTCTCACCTTTGCCCCCTCTTTCATCTTTCCTTTTACATTCCTTGCTCCTTTCACTTTCTTCCATTACTTTTCCAACAAAAATAGGTATGTACCTCCTTTACCCTTCTAAGTTATCATATTATTTAGACACTTCCATATGCTGCTTTATTATTAACCAGAAAATTTTCTAAATTTTTTTTATAGAAATGCTCCTCTTTTTTAAAAACCTGCATAATACATCCATCGTGTGGATATATTTTAGCTTTAAATAGTACTTTCATTATTAAATTATTATTATCATATTTTAAGACTATTTTCTTTTTCTTTCTTTTTAATTGGAAAGACTGCCCCTATAAAAACTCTGTAAATGTGCTGTTCGGGTAATGGGTGTCTGTCCCGGTCAGTCGGTCATATTGCCTCACATTGTAATTACAACTCGTTGTGACTATCACTGGTGTGAGTAATACTCTGTTTTAGCGGTCGAGTGGCTGCTGAACACCAGGAAAGTTCTCAAACTCATATACTGGTTAATTTTCAAAATGATAAAAGTAATGGTCTGTCGCTGTCCCGCAGCGACGGACTTGGTGCACGGAGCTGATAATAACACGCGTGGACCCTGACTGATGGTCAAAGCTGAAGTTTATTAGGGGCATCAGACTTTATACTCTGAGAGTCCGTACTGGGTAGGGGAGGAAGTATCGAGCTCATAAACAAAACCATCAACTGTTATCGCACTCTAGATTGGAATTCCTTTAGTCTTTACATCACGCTAGGTGTTCTCATTTACATGCTGTTTACTCGACCTGTGGGAACTATCTCCCAACAGGTATGCAAAAGGTAGCCATTTGGTTGTTTTCATGCAAATACTGCCCAATGAACTGCAATCCTGTGCTGCTGGCCTTCCAGGCTCACAATGTCCTCCTACAATGGTCATTAAAAGAACATAGTTGGGCCCGGCACAATAGCGTAGTGGTTAAGGTCTTCAGATTGGCTCAGCTCCAGCCCTTGCTACTGCTTGGGGAGTGAGCCATCAGACGGAAGATTCTCCTCTGTATATATCTGCCTTTCCAATTAAAAAAAAAAAAAAAAAAACCTTTAAAAATATATACTTAAAAAAGCTGAAGATGTGAGTTATGTCAAGTATCTTTTCTGCCTAAATGTGATAAAACTAGAGATGAATACGGGATGTTATGTGACTTGAATATTTTAAGGCTCCATTGCCCTGGTGACGTGCCGGTTCTACACTGCCTCTTCAGGGTCCAGCCGGAGGTCCCAGTGAATTCCGATGCAAACTCTAGTGGAAACCTTCAAACATCATTTAGCTCCTGAAAGTCAATGGTAGTAAGAAGGTTGAAAGCGCAGTTTGAGTTTAGGTGATAGACACACTGGGAGGTCCAAAGGTCACTGGGGGCATTCTCTCAGAAGATAGTTTGTACAGGAGGGTTGGCTAAAGCCCAAGTGAATGGCCTCTCTACTTCCTGGCTCACCAAGTGATCTTTCTGTATCTTTTTATTATTTTCCTCATTGGAAAGGCAGATATACAGAGAGGAGAGACAGAGAGGAAGATGAATGCTATGCCGATCCGAAGCCAGGAGCCTCTTCCGGGTCTCCCACGCGGGTGCAGGGTCCCAAAGCTTTGGGCTGTCCTCGACTGCTTTCCCGGGCCACAGGGAGGGAGCTGGAAGGGAAGCGGGGCTGCCGGGATTAGAACCGGCGCCCATATGGGATCCTGGGCGTGCAAGGTGAGGACCTTAACACTTGCGCCACCGCGCCGGCCTGGTCACTCACTTTTGAACTTGAACCTCCAAAACAATGAACTGAGTAACCTCTTTCTTTAATTAGTTTATTCAAATATTTCATCATAGTAATGTAGAGCTGACTAATAATACAGGATAAGAATTGGAAAATTCACAAATATAAGTATGTGAAAATAAAGTAACCGTCCCCTGGACAAGCAAAAAGTCAATGATGGAATCAGAAAAAAATATAAGATTTATTAATAGAACTGAACATACAAATATAACAATCTAAACTGGATGACATGCAGCAAAAGCAATTCTAATAAGAAAAAATTTATAGCCACAAATGTCTACTTTAAATAAAAAAGAGCTTGTATAAACAATCTTACACCCCACGAACCTAAATAAAAAGAAAACGAATCCAAATTTTGACAGAAACATACAGTATCTTAATAATTTTATTATCTTTCTAGTCTGTATTTTATTTCTTTTGTTACATTATTATTATTAAAAATATATCAAAATAGAGTCAGTATTAGAAGATTAAATCCAAGAAAGTTGCAAGTTATAAAAGCAAGATGCATGTTTTTAAAGATTTATTTATTTATTTGAAAGGCAAGAGTGAGACAGAAAACTTCAAGAAATATTTTTAAGATTTATTTCATAATATCAAATACTCTTAGAATTTTTCACTGATAGTAAACCAAAAAATTTCAAAGCATTTTCAAACTAAATTTTAGGGACTTTGCTATGAAGGTGTTCTTCATAGATAGATGTTTTCTTGATTTGACTTTTGAACATGGTTTTGATGGAGTGTATTACTGTATGGCTTTCACATCAACAGCAAATCATCATTTTCTCATACGTTCCCAGATGAAATGAACTTCTTCAGAAGCCTTTTCAAAGCTCCTATAACTTCCTTGTTCCTCAGGGTGTAGATGAATGGATTGGCCATAGGAGTAATAACACAGTAAAACAGGGTCAAGACTTTGATCAGGTCTTGCGGACCGTCCCCTGAGGGCTGCATATAAATGTAGATGCCAGGCCCATAAAATAATGATACCACAAGCAGGTGTGATGAACATGTGTTGAAGGCCTTAAGTCTCCCAGCAGCAGAAGGAATTCGAAATACAGCTTTGGCAATGTAACTGTAAGAGACAAGAATCATTGAGAGGGGACCCATTATCAGGAGAGTGGCCACCACAGCTAAAATAAGCTCATTGACTGTGGTATCCACACAAGCCATCTTAATAAGACCAGGCAGCTCACAAAAGAAGTGGTCCAGTACCTGGTTCCCACAGAGAGGCAGCTGGACTGTGAGAGTGGACTGCAGTAGTGAATTGGCCAGACCTGTGAGCCATGCAGTGCTCGACAGGTGCAGGCAGAGTTTATGATCCATGATCACAGAGTACCTTAGAGGCTTACACACAGCCACATAGCGGTCTAGCGCCATGATGCCAAGCAAGACACATTCAGTACAGCCTAGCCAGTGAAATACATAGGCCTGGGCTATGCAACCTGTGTATGTGATGTTTTTGTTCGGCCCCCCTAAGTTGAACAGCATTTGAGGTACAGTTGTAGTGGTGAAGCAGAGATCCAAAAAGGAAAGGTTGGTGAGGAAATAATACATGGGACTTTTGAGTTGGGAATCAAATTGAGAGACCAGAATAATAGCAATGTTTCCCAACAACGTGAACAAGTAAGCGGTCATGAGGACAAAGAAAAGAGGAAGATCCAGCCATGGATATTTGGTAAGGCCCATGAGAATAAAATCTTCTGGAAAACTTTCATTCATGTGTTTCATTGAATTTTGATGAGAAGGATCTGTTGAAATTAAAGAAGGTGAGAGTGATTAAAAAAAATTCTGAGTTGGCAGAATTAAAGTAAATATGGAGGAAAAATGGGGCATACCTTCATTAGAAATCACAACCATGTATGAAGTAATTATTACATTTAACCTTATAAAGTCACATTTGAAAAGCTTTGTTTGTGTGGAAAATGATTTTATGTTTCCCACATTAAAGTCCTGTGTGATGAGTGAACATTAAGTCTTAAGCCAATGGAAGGAGGGAGCATCTTTGTCTCTCAGATCCCAGACAGCTGGAAAAAAATTGATTGAGGTAGATTTGATCAACCAGATGCTTCCACTTAGAATTTGAATGTAGTGAAATGACACAATGGTATGAAGAGGACAAGGGGCTGCCAGAAATCCAGATCAGCTGCCTTCCTGATGTACATCCTGTGGTGACGCACCAAAGGATGTGTTCTTAGAGTCTCTTCCAGAGGTGGGATATTGGCTTGGCTGTGGCTTGTTTCTGGGTGTGTGTGTGTGTGTGTGTGTGTGTGTGTGTGTGTTTGGCCAAATTTTGTTCTTGACCTTTCCCTTTGATTCTGTGAAGTACCATTCTTCTACTTTTTTCTTTATCTGTTCCAACGACTGGAATTGCTGTTTCTTGTGTACAATTGAACACTTTGACTAATTAAAAAACTGGTAACAGAAAATAAGTCGAAATATTCTGTTAGTCTTTTGTAAGTGAGGACAGTGATGATGAAGAGTTGTATGCCAAGAATTAGAATTAGACTATATGCAGTGTTCATGATGCTCACCACCCACTTTCCTTTCTAGCCCTGGCAGTCTTCCTTTGTTGGTCTGGCTGTTGTAGCTTTTAATTATCAATTTAATGGGTCTTAAGCATTAACATTTCTTCCTTTCTAAATTCATTGGAAAATGAAAAAATGAAGGGAGAGAAATGTGTGAATGAACCTGTGCCTCCAATTCAGGCCCTGAAGGAATAGAACACAACGAATCCTACAGACAGATCAGATTCAGTCAGAGAAAAAGCAAGTGGCTGAGCCAGACAGCCTTGGATCTATCTGTCAAACTCACCAAGATGATTAATTTCTCTTTCTTCTGTGATGCTGTGAATGGACAACACGACAAATTGAAAACCTTTTTCCTCTACATTCCACTTTCATTCAACATAATAAAAATTATTCTGTTCTGTGAAACCTGGAGGTTAGAGAACAAGTATTTCCTCCTCTCCCAATAAGGTTTTAATAGGAAAAAATGAACAAAATGTAGGGGAGAAAATTAGAAAAGGAATTTGCCATAAGAAAGCACCCACACTGAAGGACAGCAGGGCCATGTAGGCATTACATTAAAAGGGTTTCAGATTACACAAGATGAGGCAACCCCAAAAATTTTCAGAAGGAAGAAAATATACATAGAAACCAAAAAGTCAATAAAAAATAGACAAGGTGTCTTCATAGCGACTGGGAAAGTGAGACTGTAAGACTTAAAAATACTGAGGAAAAAGAATTTCAAATCTGGAATTCCATCTGGAACCAAACAGAATGAAGCTGGAATGGGACATTTTAAAACATACAGCATCCCCAAAGTTTTCTTTTCCAGGCATGATTTCTTTGGAAGCTGCTGGAGGATATGTACCACCAAAATGATAAAGAGAAAAAGAAGATATTTAAGGTCAGAAAGCCTACACGAAATGAAGGAATCCTCCATGACAATGGGGAAGAGAGGTCTCATGAGACAGCTTGGAAACAAGCAGCACTGAAAAGGCTCCAGAAGCCATGTCTCCAAGAAAAATGGGAAAAGCCAGGTCTCTAAGGAGAAAATTAAAAAGAATCGACCCAAACTTGTCACTTTGGGATGGCAGAATGGAGAGAAGACTTCTAGGTAACCACAACCCAATATAGGATTTTACTAAGATTTCAACAGTTAGGAAAATGTAAACTGTTGATGCTAATCTAGTCCAAAAGCATGATGCATGAATTTTTGGAGACTAAGGAACACCTCTCTCTATGTCTCTTACTGTCTCTTACTGTCTCTCTGTCATATAAGAATTAAATATGTTGGGCCCAGCACCATGGCTCAGTGGCTAAATCCTCATCTTGAACACTCAAGGATCTCATATAAGTGCTGCTTTGTGTCCTGGCTGTTCCACTTCCCATCCAGTCCCCTGCTGCTTGTGGCCTGGGAAAGCAATAGAGGGTGGTCCAAAGCCATGGGACCCTGCACACCAGTGTGGACGACCTGGAAGGGGATCCTGGCTCCTGGCTTTGAATTGGCTCAGCTCCGGTCATTGCAGCCATTTGGGGACTGAACCAGGAGGTAGGAGATTTTTCCTGGTATAGACCAAAGCTTGTTGTTAAGAAGTATGATTAAATAGAAGAAAACAGAGAAATTATGAAGAACATATTTCCTCTGGAAAGTGAGAAATAGTGAGGAAAAGCATTGCTATTTTTCATTGCAAGCTCATGTTAATATTTGTTTTTTAATCCTGAACATTTGTATCTGTAAGAAAAAAAATAGAAATTAAGTAAAGAAAACATATAAAGTGTTTTTTTTTTAAAAAGATTTGCTTATTTGTTTGAAAGGCGGGATAACAGAGAATGGTAGAGACACATAGAGAGAGGCAGATCTTTCACCCAATGGTTCTTTCCCCCAGATGAGCACAACAGCTAGGGCTGGTCCAGTCTGAAGCCGGGAGCCCAGAATTCCATCCAGGTCTTCCCGTAGGTTGCAGAAGCAATACCCAAGCCATTTTACACTACTTTTTCAGGTGCATCAGCAGGTGGCTAAATTGGAAATGAAGCGTTTGGAATTTGAACTGGTGGCCATGTGGTGCTATCATCACAGGTGTTAGCTTAACCTTCCATGCCCCAATGCTAGACCCAGAAAGAATCTTAATATTTATAAATTATGATAAGGAGCATAGCAGGTAAAGGCCGTGTTTGAACAGATAAAGAACATACATCATCAGTTGTTACCAAAGAGACAACGTTTCTGAATTAAACATGCTTAGTTCTGTCTATCACATTTGCAGATCTGATAAATTCAATTGCATAATATGCACATATTGGTGTGGCAAAAAAAAATCTACTAAAAATGACTTGGTTCTAAAACAAGAAAATCTTTAATACTATGCTAAGGAGTCAGGTCAAATGACAGATTTTCAGAAGGGATAAGACATAATTAGAGCATACTTTAGAATGTTTACTATGGCAATGTATTGCTGGACTAAAGAAGAGACAAAGCTGAGAGGTCATAGGACAGGCTATTGGAGAGATGCTGAGAATGTTAGCTGGACAATGAAAATCAAGAGCAAGGGATGGATGTAAAGCAAAAGATGCACTTAAAAGAAGCTGATATTTTAATCTAAGATGCTGCAATAATGAAAAGGAAGCTAACAGAATGGGGCATATACGTGAGGATTGATTGGAATAAACAATTTAATAATAGAGACCTAAAACAGGGTAAATTCTCAGTGTGCCCACAAGGATTAGCTCAAAGTTCTGTTTACCAGAGGAATTTCTGTTGCTTCCAGACAAGTGTAGGTCAATTTCACCAATGCTAATTTGCAAAATATCATACAACTATAGGACTCCCTGTCTGGGGTGGTTTGTGTCAGCTGTTGAATTACCAAAGGCAGCAACTGGGGTGGATATAGAGGTAGACAGTGGCAAGGGAGATGTATCCAAAAATAGAAAATAGAAATCTACATTTTAAGTGAAGATATATAGCAGAATGCATTTCTACCTCTGAATAAAAGATGGACTCCCAATGAAACCATTAAATATATCTTGACAATGGGATGCTGGACTTTCTACCATTGTCTATACCTACAATGTACATGATGGACTTGTGATTGTTGTTGAAGGACTATATTATTGTAATAATATAAAGGAAATCAGTGTCAGGGAGATGAAATGGAGAGGGTGAAAGGGGAAATCCTAGAGTCTAAGGAACAGTATTATGAAAAATAGGCACGGTAGCCTAGTGGCTAAAGTCCTCACTGTATAAGCGCCAGGATCCCATAAGAGTGCCAGTTCTAGTCTTGGCCACTTCATTTCCCATCCAACTCCCTGCCTGTGGCCTGAGAAAGTAGTCGAGTACAGCTCAAAGTCCTGCACGCAGAAGCTCCTGGCTCCTGGCTCCTGGCTTCGGATCAGCTCAGCTCTGGCTGTTACAGCCACTTGGGGAGTGAACCAGCAGATGGAAAATCTTTCTCTCTGTATCTGCTTCTCTCTTTTAAAAATTAAAAGAAAATGAATCTGTGTTTTACAAAACATCAGTATATTTGCATATATCATGGCCAAAGAAAAAAGTGAAAACACTGTACTCTGTCAAAAACAGTCTCAATATTTTTGCTTATTTGTCATCATTCATATTGTTTGATTCTCAAGTTGAGTTTCAAAATATTAGATTTAATATAAGTGATGTTTATTGACTGCCTTCTCTCTCATTCTTTCCCTTCTCCTAGACCATTGGATCTTTTGGACATAATTATGGAATTGAGGTAAATGACTAACAGCCATTAATCTGGTATAATGAAAATGTATTTAACTCACTGAGGCATCTTATCTCATTTGATCTTATTCAAAGTTCAGAACTTTTTTTTTTTTAAACCAAACAAAACCCAAGGCTATCTAGGCTGTTTTGTGTAGAAACAAGCTTCATCAGAACATACCTCTTCTCATTCGCACTGGTTTGAAGTGGGTGACTAGCTATGGAAGTCTAGCCGGGAGAAAGGCTGTGGAAGAGTCGGAGTCTCAAGGTCCTGAGAGAGGTGGGTAGGCCAGTGCACCTGTAAGAGTCACCTTGGTATGGAAGATAGGATGACTATCATTCTGCAAGCAGAAAGTATTCTCTATTGGTTCCAAGTGTGACACAAAGACAGATAAAACAGATTCTCAGCCAGGGTGACAATGATCTCTTAGGGACAGTCCTTGGTGAATGGATTTCCCTGGGGAAGTGGTACCAGTCTTGTATTTCCCATTCTTGCT